GACTGACCTAGGGTGAATTTTTAAATAGGGACAATTTTTAATGATTTTAAACAAGACACAGCTACAAATATTTGGTTTTTAATTGGCTTTTATAGGGAAATGTTTTGTATTGTTTTTTAATATGCTGTGAGCCGCCCTGAGTCCCATGGGGGAGAAGGGCGGCATATAAGTCTTATTATAAATAAATAAATAAATAAATAAACTCCCCATTTTAAAATCTGCCACTCTACTTCTGGGTCTCTTTTGGGATCTTCCTATGTTCATTATGCACTCGGTTGTAGTCAAGCTCTTTTTAAAGGGCCAGCTCATAATGCCTTCCATGGTGGGGTCCTTAAAGAGACAGATAGGCCTAAGGTGCAGCCACACATATCCTTCTTTCCACGTCCAATCTCATAGCTGAGATAAACACAGGCTGCTCGTAAGTCATGCCGTGTTCAGCATCTGCAAGAAGTTCCATTTTGGGGAACGTGTTGAACACGAAACATTTTTGTACCCCTAAAAGCCTCACAACATTCAGTGAAAAAGGGAGAATCTGAAGCCAAACTCGGCTGTAGTAAAGTTCTTTACCTCTCTGATCAGTTGGTGCAGATTATGCTCCAGAACGTAAAGATGATCCTCTGGACCTTGTTTCTCAGAAGTAGATTTTTGGGATTTCTTGTCTTCTGAGGAGTGACACAAGGAAATGCAGAGCTGCAATCCTACAAAATGAAATGCAAAAATGTGTACGTGTGTCTGTGAACTGCATCTTGGAGTGTTATTACATTCTGGTTGTCTATAAGAAATAACCGATTTTTTAAATATTAGAGTATACGTAGGTAGGTAGGTAGGTAGGTAGGTAGGTAGGAAGGAAGGAAGGAAGGAAGGAAGGAAGGAAGGAAGGAAGGAAGGAAGGAAGGAAGGAAGGATCAATGGTTTGATTAAGTTCAGTCCATGTCATGTATCTGAGTCATCCCTGTCTACATGGATAGAAACAGTAATGTTGAGGAGCCAGAATAATGGACATAAATTTGAACCAAATAAAATGCTTCAAATGCATTTCAAATGGAATCCTGTCTATTCATTCAAGCAAACAAGTGGATCAAATTCAGCTTTTTAATACTGTCTTAAATCTTACCTGGGAAGGGCTGGGAAATGATTTGGTTCTTCACAACAATGTGAGGGATTTGTGATTTGATTTGCACGGCTTCCCGAGAAAGCTGAGCAAATATTTCTTTACATAACAGAACGTTCTGTGCGGTCTCCAGTTTTGTTTGCCAATGCAGAGCCCCTGAATAAGAGAATCGTTATTTACAAATCAGTAAAAAAATAGAAAATGAACTGCTCTGTTTATGCAAACGTGTATGCTTCTCTGAAATATAACAATTTACATTCTGAAACAATACCTGGCTTAGATTTCAAAATAGGTTTTTTAAACAGATTGACTATCCCAAGGTCCCCTATATCTGGTGCTTGTTTCTGAATAGATACCTAAATGTTAAAAAAAAACAACAATGTTAGATTCTGTTTTTTCCCCCTAGGCATTTTAATCAAATCAATGCATAAACAAATAATCTTGACAAACCTTAATATAGGCAGAACCTTCCAAATCACTTGGAATTTGAACAGCTAGAGGGCAGTAATCATCAGGAATCTTTTTATCCAGATCAATGTCTGTGTTTTTTATGACCTCAAATGTGCCGTGATGAGGAAAGAGAGACCCTTTATAAACGAGAGAAGTTGCAACAGTGCTTTATATTTTACATTACAGAGATCTGAAATATCCCGTACATGTTTGCCCCTTTCCCTGTGTGCATAGACTGTAGACATAATAGGCGTGTTTTGTATACATATGTTGTATTTGGTATGTTTTAGGTATGTGTCATGTATGTGTTTCACTTTGAGAGCGGGCAACTAAATTTCATTTTTTGATGTGTGCCATTGTGCCCAGTAAAAAAATGACAATAAAGGTTATCTTATCTTATCTTATCAAATACCACTTCAAAAGAAAATTGTCTTGGATTAAAGCAACTCCATCTAATCTCTAAAGGGACAAGGAGTTATTAATCGAGCAAAACATACTGGTTCCTACTTTCTTCATCATTTATATTATGATAAAGCTGAATTTAAAAATATTTTTTTCATGGCACGCATCCACATTATCTCCATCAACAGTTACCCAATATCTATGATACGTACAGGCAGTTTTCCACTTAAAAACAGTTCATTTAGTGATCATTCAAAGTTACAGTGGCCCTGAAAAATGTGACCCATTTTTCACACTAATGACCACTGCAGGATCTCCATAGTCATGTGATCAAATTTCAGACGGTTGGCAACTGACTCATATTTGACGGCTGCTGTTTCCCCAAGTCATGTGATCACCTTTTGTAACCGTGTGACAAGCCAAGTCATGGGGGAAGCCAGATACACTTAACAATCATGTTACTTATTTAACAATTGCAGCGATTCACTTAATAACTGTGGCAAAAAAGGTCATAAAATGGGGCAAAACCCACTTAGCATCTGTTGTCCTAGAAATTTTGGGCTTAATTCTGGTCAAAGTAAGTCAAGGACTAGCTGTATATATATAAATAATAACAGAGTTGGAAGGGACCTTGGAGGTCTTCTAGTCCAGCCCCCTGCTCAGGCAGGAAACCCTATATGTCACTTCAGACAAATGGTTGTCAAATAATGTCCAACTGTTTGTCCAAATGGTTGTCTAGTACTGTAACAGTACAGAAATTATGCCCTCCTGGCTTCACCTGCACTCTTGTAGCTCAAATCTCCAAGGATTTTATCTCCCACTTTCCTCAGCTTCCAATGCTGCCTCAACCTGAGCAATTCTGAGTTGAAATCTCTTTGCCGCTTATTTTCTTGGTTTTCAGCAACTGATTTAGTCAACCTTTCTGCTCCTTTCAGAAGAATCTGGGCTGCTCCAGCTAAGTACTTTTTCTTGGAGAGCAGCTGCAAAACCTGAGGATTCTGGAAATGAAGAAAAAACCAAAATCAATTTAAATGCAATCTTCTCTGTCAGATAATAGACGGAAAGGATATTTCTACATTTGCTTCTGTCGTTAATGCGAATGGCTGAAGTAATCTGACCTCATTTATTTAATACAGCAATATGAAATCAGATGCCTCCAGATGTTTATGACCATCACATGCAACCACCATGGATAATGGTTCTGGCATTTATTGTCCCCAGACACAAAAGCACAAAAATTATCCAACCCTGAATTAGGACATATTTAGAGTGAAGATCATTGTTTATTGATATCATAATAATTATAGTACAGTCATACTATTTAAATGTATATGCTACCTGAATCCCGATGGCTTTGGGTGACTACAGATAAAAAGTATTAAAACCAGGACCCACCCCTTCAATAAACAATAATGAATATGGGAAATGTGACAAAAAAAGTGGACAGAAACCAACCAAATAAATCTACATAGGCTTCATCCACCCTTGCCAAAGCCCTGGGCAAACTCTTTACAAGCCAAGATAAGAAACTTGGAACAAATATTTGAACAGAATAAAGAGAAATTATGCCCAATACCTGCTTTTGGGAAAGTGATTCTTGTACAACTGGGTCTAGAGTCATAAACTTTTTATCTTTGACTATGCTGAGGACGTCATAAAGCACACACATCTCTGTCAAAGCACTCCTTATGTTATTCCGTACTGAATCCCAAGGCCAGAGAGAAGGCTGAAATTTTATCAGGCCTGAAAAACATAAGCACAGGAGGAAAACAAGAGTAAACTACTATTGGAACTTTCTTAAATCAATCCTATCACAGGTGGTCCTCGATTTACAATAGTTCATTTAGTGACCATTTGAAGTTACAACAACACTGTAAGAAGTGACTTGTGACTATTTTTCACACCACCATTGCAGCATTCCCATGATCACGCGATCAAAATTTGGACGCTCGGCAACGACATGTATTTATCACGGTTGCCGTGTCCAGGAGTCATGTGATCACTTTTTGTGACCTTCTGACACACAAAATCAATGGGGAAGCCAGATTCACTTAACAAACCGTGTTACTAATTTAATAACTTCAGTGATTCACTATAGCAGACATGTCAAACTCGTGACGTCGTGCGACGTATTGGAGCTTTTTCCCCATTGCTGGCAACAGGGTGGGCGTGGTTTCTTTGTGGTGCGTCCGGCCCGTGGGCTGGCAGTTTGACACCCCTGCACTATAGCAAGGAAGGTTGAAAAATGGGACAAAAGCCACTTAACATCTGTCTCACTTAGCAAAAGAAATGTTGGGCTCACTTGTGGTTCTAAATTGAGGATTACCTGTATAACTTTGTAGTATGAAAAGCTCTGGAATTGCTATCCCTTCTTTGCTTCTCAAAGACAAAGGCGATTAAAAAACAATCATATAGCAAACCCACAGAGAATTCCTTAAAAAGATTGTCCTTTCCATTTACAGTGGCAATGGGGGCGCTGTTGGAAGACCTGAAGGACCAGGTTAGGGACAGATCATCACGGAGAAAATGTATGTGGCCACCAAGAGTCGACACTGACTTGACTACACACACAGTCAAGGATATTCATGCAGATCACACATACGAACAATGGGACTCAATAAACCTGGATTATACAAAAGTGGAATGGACAGAGATACAGAACGGATGTCCCAGAATGTGTTAATGCCGTGTTTTTCTGCACCGTGGAAAAGGTTGCACTAAATGATCTTTGTAACTCCTTTGAACTCCATTTTGTACTCCCTTGGACAGTATGAGTGTTGACCCGGACTTAGGGGACAGTGAATACGTGCAGATGGCCCCGCTCTCTCTGGCCACTTGCAGACCCATGATTGCAAGGTCATGAAAGGACAGCAAAGGAAACACCCAATATCCTAACCCACCCGGGAACATGGGATGCCTTGGGGGAACACCCAAACCACCCAAAAGGAAACATATTAGCTACTTCTGCTTTCTTCCTTCTTATCTACAGTGTGCCAGCCTTAAAGGGTGAAATCTCTATCTTATGTGTGTCAACTTTGCTGGATGAATTGCTTATGTAATCAAAGTGGGTATAAAAATAAGGCTTTTTTGATATTTGGAGCTTTTCTCTTTCTNTGAATAAACACGTAACTCTTGAAGGCAACTTCTGGTTTCCTGTATTTTTTATCAAGCAAAACCTCAGAACTTGCATATCATCAGGCAATGGTTGCAAATATTTTAATTCAATGGTCTTATTTGTGAATAAATTTAGGATTGCACTGTATTAACAACCATGTTATCCAGCAACATGCACACACACACACACACACACACATCTCCTAATCACCCAGGCAGAATCCCAGCTCCTCCAAAAAGACTCCCTTGGGGCAGCTCTAAAAGTCAACCTAGGCCGTCCATCCTCAGATCAGGATTAAAGCAACTGTACTTAAACCTACCTAAAACGGTTCTCTTTAGGTAGTGGGTAAAATGTGGTGTTTTGGGGGGGCTCCTACCCTCACCCTCACCTCCAAAGTTGGTGGTGGTGCTTTAGGCCGCATAGCCTTCCTTTTGTATTTTGCTCTGTATTCACTTTGTAAAACCGCCCAGAGTCATCTGGGAGCTGAGTGACTAAAAAAAAATAAAAATCTGAAAACTAAACGAAATTGAGGCAGGCATGATAGCAGTGTTCCAGTATTTGAGGGGCTGCCACAAGGAAGAGGGGGTCACGTTATTCTCCAAAGCACCTGAGGGCAGGACAAGAAGCAACGGATGGAAACTAATCAAGGAGAAGCAATCTGGAACTAAGGAGGAATTTCCTATCATCGAGAACCATTAACTAGTGGAAGAGCTGGCCTTCAGAAGTGGTAGGTGCTTCATCACTGGAGGCTTTTAAGAAGAAACTGGATAGCCACTTGTCTGAAATGGTATAGGGTCTCCTGCTTGAACGGGGTTGGACTAGAAGACCTCCGAGGTCCCTTCCAACTGTTATTCTGATTGGAGGTCAGCAGCTGTGCTTGTGTAAGTTAATGTGCATAAGCATGAAGGATGATACTTGATCCTACGGATCCTGACAGGGGAGGGGGGGAAATAAAGGGTCACCGAGTAAACAGGGTGGATCATCACACCTGTGGCTTATCAGGAAGAAAGGGCTGAAGCAGTGGGAAAGGTCCTATCACAATTCAATATGCTAGGGCAGGCATCTGAAGCATCTTCAAAGATAAGGTCCAATTGTTTTTATTTACTTAATGTATTGATTTATAGAGCTGCTCACAATCTCACAATTGTGACTTTGGTTGGCAAGTATGGGAGTGAAAACCAACAAAAGAAAAACAATGAATAGAAATGACAAACATTGACATTGGGGGATAATTAAGGAGAAACTTCCTGACAGTGAGGACAATTAACCAGTGGAACCGCTTGCCTCCAGAAATCGTGGGCGCTCCATCACTGGAGATTTTAAAGAAGAGACTAGACAAGTCACTTGTCTGGAATGATGTAGGTTCTCCTTCTTGAACAGGGGGCTGGACTAGAAGACCTCCAAGGTCCCTTCCAGCTCTAGTCTATTCATTGGAACATCTGCTTTCAAGCCAGGATGGCCTCGTTGAGAGTCTCCATGCAATGTTCTTGGGGAGTTATGGTGGGTTTCCCCTCCCCCCAAATCTCTCAGCCTTGGGATCTCCTGGTGGTCTCCCATCCAAGTATTGACCGGATTTCAACCCTGCTGAGCTTCCTTGCTGAGGGGGCCTCTTTCCATCCCCTTCGGGAAGGCTTTCTTGCTTCTCTCCCCGCTCCCCTCACCTTCTTCCTCCTCCTCCTCCTCCCCGCCGGGCCATTCGCGACTCTCGCCGGCCGGTGCGGGCTCGTCCTCTTCGGAACCGGAGCTGCCTTGGCTGAAATCGATGCGCTGCGCCAGGCGGGCCAGGTTCTGCGACATGGACAGCGGCTGCAGGTACGTCTCACTCCCGTCGAGGCCCACCTCCTGCACATGCTTCTCGCAGGCCGACTCGATGCTGATCCGCACCGCTTGAAGCCCCGACATCTTTCCCCCCCCCCTCGGCGGCTCGCAGCACCCCTTACACCCACCCCGGCTGGAGCATGCGCAAAAGAAACTACAGGGGCCGCAGTGGGACAAGCAGAAAACCGCGATTCCGAGGGAGCGCACCGGCGGCCCCTAGCGGTCAGCAGGAGAAGGCGGAGATGCTCGGAGTTCCGCGGGCAGGAGGCGGGGTGCGTGCGCGGAATAACACACAAGTAGTCCTCGGTTTACCATGGGGGCGCCACAACGGTCATTAGCGTGAAAACGGTCATAAGTCCCATTTTTTCAGTGCCATCGAAACTAAATGTTCATGCAGTGACCATTTGAAGTTACAATGGCACTGAAAAATGGGACTTATAACCATTTTTCACACCCACCACCATTGTGGCATCCCCATGGTCACGTGATCAAAACTCAGATGCTTGACATTTTTTTTTTTTTTTTTCAAATTTTTTTTTTATTATTTTCAACATAAAAAAAAAAAAGCAAACACAAGTACATCACAATTTGAAAACCCCCTCCCCACCCCCCACCCGGACTTCCCAAACCTAATCCCAGGATACTATTCATCTAAAAGTAACCTTATATTAATATCCCTAACTCCACAAAATATAATTCTACATAAATAGGTGAAATATAAGTATATATATAAAAAGAAGAAGAAAAAATTTTTTTATCTAAAAACCTAACCTATATTCCACCATTCTATGCTTATTTTGAATATAAACAATCCATCTTCTCCATATTGATAAAAATTGTTCATTTGAGTGATCCTTCAAATAAACCGAGATCTTTGCCATTTCAGCAAGATGTGAAACCTTCACTCTCCAGTCCTCTATTGTAGGTAAAACTTGACTCTTCCAATTTTGAGCTATCAACAAACGGGCAGCAGTTAAACAATACAACATCAAGTTCGTTTCTTTTACATCCAGATTATGTGTGATACCTAGGAGAAACAACTGAGGCAAAAAAATAATTCTTCTTTTAAAAACTTGTTGTAAGTTCCACCATAATTTTATCCAAAAAGCTTTAATAACCTTACAAGTCCACCACATGTGAAAAAAAGTTGCATCTTGTTGTCC